ATCCTGAACCTCCATTCCAATGAAGTTTAGGAGTGAAATGTAAAAATTCTAAAATTCCCTGGTCACCTCACAAAATCTGGGGCCTTCACAATGACACAGTCTCTGTCTTTATTTCTGTCAACCTCCATAGAAGAAGGAAAAGACTTTTCAAACTCTGTTATAAGCTCAAAGCTAAAACCACCATCTTCCAAAATGTCCCACAACTGTTCCTTCTTGTTTACAGAAATTACTCTCCTCTAGAATAACCACATTCTGCCTTCAACCAAATGTATCAAATTAATGTCTTGATGAATTAACTGAAATCGACTGTAAAACAAGAAATTTTATTTTAAGTGGAACACAATGCTAGGATCCATGATTTTAAGTCATGACACTTATCTGACTGGTCATATAAGATTTGTTTATCAGTTCACTTCCATTTAAATCTAGAAGAGTCCCAGTAAAATTTTATACTTTGGGACATAAGCTTCATGTTGCTTTTGCCAGGAAAAAAAAAATCTAAGTTACTTTCCTACTGAAAAATCACTCAATGCGGAAAACTTGCAGCCTGTATTTTTTTTTGACTATTGGATCAACTCTACACTATTTGAAAGGCAGTCATGTAGACGAGCCAAGATGTTTCTGAATTTCATCTGATATTCATATAGTACATCAGCCAAGATGCTTCTGAATTTCATCTGATATTCATAGAGTGCTGATATAGTGGCTATTCATATAGTGGCTATAGTGAGAATTTTACTCCATTCAGTACTTAAAATTTTACATATGTAAGAAAAGTCTGGGTTTGCCTGGATATCAGTTGAAGCCAGGACACGTAAGATGATACTGAAGCACCGGGAAGGGCCTCCCTCATCTTCCCCACCAATCTCTCTCTACCCATCTTCCTGCATCTACACCTTTATTTTCTGACTTCCCTGCTGTAATAAGAATGAAATATTGTTGCTCCTATTCAAGAGCAACCTCTCCACTAATGCTTGTTATCCCAATATTCTCTCTTCCCAAGGATTTTGCTCCTAATATTATTCCCCTTTCTCTCCTGAATCAATTTCTCCCTTTCCACTAGATCATGCCATCAGCTCTCAAACACATTCTGGAGCTTATTAAACTCTAAGAACCATTTTTTTGATTTTGTTTTATTTTTAAAATTTCAACCTGTTACTGATACCTCTAAAAAATACAACAAAAATAATTAATAGAAAAATGATCATCTGGCTTGGATGTTTCGACAATACCAAGTTGCTATAAAAGTTACCAAATACTTCCTCTCAATGTTGTACTCATCTCATTCTGTATATTAACAAACGCTTCGCTGCCTGGCAGAGCACAGTTTGAGCGGCCCTGCTCTGAACTAGTCTCCCCTCTCCAGAAAATGCTTTCCTTTGTTGCAAGCAACCCTCAAGCTCTAGCCCCATTTCTCTGATTCACTTAACAGCAGGACTTCTTGGAAAACCTGTCACTAGTTACTTCCTCCATTTCCTTACCCATCTCTTTAACTTCCCTTCTCAACCCACTCCAACTGGGCTTCCTTCCCCACAACTCTACTGAAACCATTGACGCTAAGGTTCCAACAATCAATATGTTGCTAAATCCAGGGCTTATAATGAGCCTGGTACATCAGTATCTGGTGTTAAAACAATGAAACACTTCTAGGCTAGTTGGTAAATAGCTCCCTTCCCTGCTCTTTCTGTTCTCTTCCTAGACAACATCATGAAATCCCACTTACTAGCCAAAAAGCCTTGATCTCTCCCCTGAGCTTTAGACTAGCATACTCAATCTTCACCTGTATGTTCAGTAAGTATCTCAACTGTAACATGTTCCAAACAGAACTTGGATTCTCCCTTCAACCTCTAGGTTTCCCTGTCAGTGACTGACTGGCATCCAATCTGCTCAAGCTAAAAATCAAAACCCAAGAATTATCCTTGATTCTTCACTTTCCTCCATGGCCACATTAGCCCTCTGCAAATCCTGTCTACTGTACATGCACACACAGTCTCCACCCTTCCACTTTTCCCATCTTAGTTCCAGTTACCATTATCTCTTTCTTGGATTCCATTACCTTAGCCTCCAAACTGGTCTCCCTGTTTTCATATTAAATATTTGGTTCCTAGATTCTTCTCCACACAGTAGGTTAGAGAAATCTTATAAAAATGTAAATCAGACTATACCTCCTCCCTGCTTAAAATCCTCCAACAGCTTCCCCAAACTCCTAGAATAAATCCCAAGCTCCGTACCTGACCTGACAGACCTACCTGCCCCAGCCTCTACCTATCTCTCCAAGTTCATCTCATTTCACTTCCTCCCTCCTCCATCACTGCACTCTTGCCAAGGGGCCTTTGCACTCACCGATTCCTTTGCCTGGAATGCTTGCTTACTTGTCATCTGTTTGCCTCCTCTAGAATACAGGCTCCGTGAGACGGGAGCCCTAGCTATCTATCCCCATAACCAGATGAGTTTCTGACACAGAAGATGGTCAAGAAATTAAAATAGTGAACGTAGGACTGTGACAAGGAGCTTGAACCCGATGACACACACACACATGCACACAGATGTACATGCACAAGTACAATATTTTAAGAAAAAGCTATTGAAAAATGTATTCTTTAACATTTTTCTCTTAACTATATAGATGTTAATCATGTTACCATCTAAAACTACAGTAAACCAATTAAATTAAAAACCAAACAAACAAAAACTCAAAATGTAAGTCATTACAGCATCCATGTTTGAAGACTGTGAAATTGAGAAATCAGAGGGAGGAAGGACCGCTGAACATGGCTGCGGACCCAGCCAGTCTGCCAGCCCCTGTGGTCAAAATGCACTTGTCACGCTGTACTTCATTTGGTGGACTTCATAAGACATGTTGCCACTTTCTCTGTTCCCTTCCATCAACTACTTTCTCCTTTATGTTTTACTGTCTTGTTAGACTCTTCTCTTTTTCCTTTCAATATTTACCTCTACTCCAGAAAATAATTAACAAAATCATATTCTGATTATATTAACTCAGACTTCTACCACACCTAATAGATCCCTTAAATTCAGGTCTAACAAGGTCTTTTTTTGGTCCATTCTGATGTTCTACTTTTAAATACTCAAGCTAAAAGTCATTTTAATGGGAATGGCTAAAATGAACAGCCCTTCACATTGAGGTCCACACTTGAGAAATGGGAATGTTGTAGTGCTCTCTGCTCAGTGATTTTTTCAGCGATAGGCTTTGGACATATAAACCTGTTAAAAAGAGGAAAAATTTAAAACAAGCTGGTCTTTTCAAGGCCTTCTGAGAGTTGTTCAATTTTCTGCTTAAAATGGTCTGACATTAATCTCTCAATATGTCCAGTTAGTCTGTGAATAGCATTGGGTTACTTTAGTAAAATGAAAAATGTGTTATGTTTTCTTAAGAAATACATAAATTCTTGTTTAGCTTACCATGATTTAAAGAGGTCTGAGTTGGTACTGTGTAGAGAATGAAGAACTCATGAGTCCTAAATCTTAGTTCTGCAGCCAATACCTTTTCTGACCTTAGTTTAAGTTACTTTTCTTTTCAAAGGCCCAGATTTCTCAGCTATGAAACTGAGAGGTTGGTATATATCAGTATTTCTCAGAATGTGGTCCACAAACCCCTGAGGGTCCCTGAGACCCTGTCAAGGGGTCCAGGTCCACGAGGCAGAAATTGCTTTCATAGTAATACGAAGATGCCAATTGCCTTTTCCATCGTATTGATCTTTGCACGAATGGTGCTAAAGCAGTGGTGGGTAAAACTGCTGGTGCTTTGGCATGAATCAAAGCAGTAGCTCCAAACTGTGCTCAGTCATTGTATTCTTCACTGCTATGAATTTGCAGTTTAAAAAATTATGAACTTCATTAATTCTTCAGTGTTTTGATATTCTTCGTGAGAAAATAGAGAATATGCACAGAGCACTTAGAAGTTAATAATAGGAAGCTGAAAAAGTTAAACTAAATCTTCAATTCATTTTGCAGAGATGAGAAAAAAGAAAGTGAACAATTTGAGTAAAATGTGATTGCACAACAGTGAGGAGAACACTATGTCACAACATGTCACTAAAGAACACTACATGAAACTTTGAAAAATGACTAAGAAACAAGATTCTCCTGAAAGGAATTCAATGTCTCACACTTTAACAGTGCTTGACTTACCTATTACATGTGTCATCACAGTAAGTTGTTGATTTTAAGTGGTAAAAAAGTATCAGCGACAACTGTGAAACAGT